TTTGGATACCCCCTGTCCCTATATAATCCAGACATTTTGGATACTCCTTGTCCTTATATAATCCAGACATTTTGGTCACCCTTGTCCCTTTGGCCTCCTAACTGGGGCACCTTAACACATCTCTCCCCTCTCCATTCCCCTCCCTTCTCCTCACATGGCTCAGGGTCATGACCACTCTGGACTCTCCCACATATCTACAGTAAACGTTCTCCTCCACCACACCTCGGAGCAGTCATGTCCTTTCCTTTCTATTACATTCAGTATTGCATAGAAATTTTAAATTCTCCTTGATATTTTGCTTTCATTTATAAAAATTAATATTCCTTGTATACATAATAAATAAATATTATTATTAATATTCCTATTCCAACCAATATTTAGTTGGTTTTGTTACCAAATACAAATTTTAATTATTTTATTATGTATGTGTATTGGTGACTTTACCCGCATCTCTCTATGTACCACTGTGCACTGGTGCCCAAGGGAGCCAGAAGACAACGTTGGATCACCTGGAACAGGAATTACAGATGGTTGTCTCTTTGTGGGGGCTGGGAATTGAGTCCGGGTCCTCTACAAAAGCAGCCTCTGCTCTTAACCACTGAGTCATCTCTTCAGCCTTCTGTGATCCATTTTAAAATAATTTTGTATGCAATGTGAAATAGAGAATGAGGACAGTTTTTCGCTTTTTGCCTTACTAAATTTAATTTGAGATGGTACGGGGATGAAAGGGGATAAGGGAGGAAGAATATGATCGAAGTACATTATAGGTGTATGTATGTGTAAAATTGTAAAGAATAATCACATTTAAAAATTATTTGGACTTCTTTTCCTTTTTATTTTATTTTATTTCCTTCTATATTAAATGTACTCTTCCATTATTTCTGGCCTTTTGGCTAATACCAAGTTTAAATTTCTTCTACTAACCGGGCGGTGGTGGCACACGTGTTTAATCCCAGCACTCAGGAGGCAGAGGCAGGTGGATCTCTGTGAGTTTGCGGACAGCCTGGTCTACAGAGTGAGTTCCAGGACAGGCTCCAAAGCTACAGAGAAACCCTGTCTCGAAAAACCAAACAAAAATTCTCTACTAACTTAATTTTGGTTTGGTTTTCAAGACAGAATTTCTCTGTGTAGCCCTGGCTTTCCTGGATCTTGCTCTGTAGACCAGGCTGACCTCAAACTCACAGAGCTCCACCTGCCTCTGCCTCCCAAGTGCTGGGATTAGACATGTATGCCACCACCAGCAGGCATTAATTTTGTATTGACACGCAAAGAAATGGCTTTGAATTTCCACCGTGTCATTGCTTTGCTCTTACTAAGCCCTCCTGCCCCTCCCCCATTGTTAGCCACCTTCCTCTCCAGAGTCTTCCTGCCCCAGAGACTCCACTGCACTCTCTTCTCCTCCCCTCTCTTTCCTATCTCCCCAGTGCTGGATTTCAGGTGTAGGATATCACTACCCTGCCCACTGTTTCTCTGACACCTCTGTCTCTGTCTCTCTCTGTGTTAGTATAGCATTTTAAAACATTTCTTTAAATATTTGGTTAGGGTTTTTGTGTGTGTGTGTGTGTGTGTGTGTGTGTGTGTGTGTGTGTGTGTTTTGAGTCAAGCATTCTCTGTGTAGCCCTGACTATCCTGGAACTAACTCTGTGAACCTTATACTCAAAGAGATCCACCTGTCTCTGCCTCCTGGGATTGCTGGGATTAAAGACGTGTGCCACCACTGCCAGGCTAAACATATGCTTTTAATCGAAATATAATTATATCACTTCCCCCTTTCCTCTCTCCAGCCCCTCCCAGTTAGCCTCCCTTCAAACCTCTCCCATCTGCCTCCTCTACTCAAGTGATAGCCTTTTTTACTCTGTTATTGTTTTTATATATTTCTCTATGTAACATATGTATGCACAAATATATATATCTATATATAATAATACAATCTGCTGAGTTAATTTTTGTGGTTTATATGTGTATATATAGTTTCAAGGCCGAACACTCTGCTTCAGACAATCATTAAGGGGCCTTATCTATGGGAGAGATTAATTCTCCTTGTCCCAGTAAACATTTACCACCTGCAGTCCTTGGTCTAGAGGTGGAGCCTGACGCAAGTGTCCCCTTTCATGTTAACATGTTCATGGATGTCTTTTATGTGAATCCTTTTCTAGAGATTGCTTCCCTGACTTCTTAAAGCAGAGATAAACCAGGTGTGGGGTGGTGGCACCTTTAAACCCAGCATCCAGGAGACAGAAGCAGAGCCCTGAGAGTCCCAAGCCAGCTAGTGTAACAGATTCTGTCACTACCAGAGTGGGCTTTCCTTCTTTTCCCCTCATAGCACTCTTCTCACTTGACAGCATAGTTTACTTGGTTTGTCCTCACGCTAAGCTAGGGGCTTTGTCGTAAGCATAGAGTAGTAGTGATGGTACACACTTGTACTCCCGGCACTCAGCGGGCATAGGCAGGAGGTTCCTGCATTCCTGGCCAGCCTAGAGTACATAGTGAGTTTGAGACCAACCTGAACTGTATAGCAAGACCTTGTTTCAAAAAACAAAACTCAAGGAAAAAAAAAATTTTTGAGACAGATTCACTGTATAGCCCTCGCTGACTCAAAAATTCCCAAGTAGACCTCCAACTCAGAGATTTAACTGTAGCTACCTTCAAAGTGCTGGGGTTAAAGATGTGTGCCGCCAAGAAAATAAATAAAAATTTAAACTGTAGATCCTTGTTCTTTCACTGTTCTTTTCACTGTTACCAAGTAACTGATTTCTTTGTGTTCACTTCTCTTAGGAACAAGAGTTAACAATTTCAGTATCCTGATCTCTTTGTGATAGTGTGTGTGCTGCTGATTGTCTAGTGACTGTCTGAAATCAGGCTGGGCGTGGAGCTGTCCTGTGAGGACAGCACTAAGATTGTCGGGCCCTGGATACCTGTGCAGTTGGCATCCAAATGCAGCCTTTTTGGATTTCATTTTGGAAGACACCCCCTACCCCGTGTGTGTGTGTGTGTGTGTGTGTGTGTGTGTGTGTGTGTGTGTGTGTGTGTGTGTGTGTGTGTGTGTGTGAGAGAGAGAGAGAGAGAGAGAGAGAGAGAGAGAGCGAGAGCGAGAGTGGGAGAGAGAGAGAGCGTTCTCTGTCTAGTTGTTTTTGGATTGGTTTGTTCTGAGACAGGATCTGCTGTATCTCCGGATGGCTTAAGTTCATTGTGTAACTGAGGGTGACCTTGACCTCTCTGCTCCCCAGTCTCCTCTTCCCTGGTGTGGAGTGGCTTTCCTAGTTTATGCAGTGCTAGGAATCAAACCCAAGGCTGCGGACACAGCAGGCATGTTCCCCCCACCCCAAAACCTCATCCCAGCCCCTAGGCTCTTCTTGATGTTCTGTCTGACTTTGCTTTTTCAGGAACTGAAGAGATTTGAGAACTTTGTAAACTCCTGTCCTCCTTTTGATATTGTTATTGATGGCCTCAACGTTGCAAAAATGTTTCCTAAGAGTCGTGAATCTCAAATTGTAAGTATGTTTTATTTTGTCGTTCTTTGTAGAGACAGGTCTTGTAAACAGCTGCTGCCCTCTTTGTAAAGCCTGAAGCTTGCCTTCACCTGACCTGACCTCTCCTTGCTCCTTGGAGTCACTGTTTTCCTGCGGATCACATCTCTAATTTGAAAATACACCAAGATATAGTATCAAGATACTAGATACTCATTTCTTTGGGGACTTCCACACGATACTTTAATAAATTAGCCTATGCAGTTGTTTCTCACTGGGTAATCATTAGTTTTTATTTGTAAATATACTAGCAGTTTCAAATAAGACTACCATGATTTTTCAGTCTCCCCCCCCCCCCCGCCCTTTTTGAGACAGTCTCTCTATGTAGACTAAGACAGATCTGAACTCACAGAGAGACCCTCCTGCCTGTGCTTCCCAAGCGTTCCCTTCTGCAACCATGATTTTTCATAGCAGCAATGAGATCAGAAAATTAAAGCTAATTTTGTACAGTAAATCCCTAGAAAACCAGAATGTTAAAATTAGACTGTAGGGAGTGCCTGGATTTCAGGCCTGTGGCTGTTGTCATTGGTGTTTTGTGCCCTTCTGTAGATGAAGTTCCTGTTGCTTTTGGTTTTTGAGTTTCTCTGTGTAACAACCCTGGCTGTCCTGGAACTTACTCTGTAGACCTGGCTGGCCTTGAACTCACAGAGATCCTGCCTATCTCTGCCTCCTAAATGCTGGGATTAAAGGTGTGTGGTTCTATGGCCTAGCTAGTATAAAGAAAGAGAATAGAATGGTTCCTATCTCCTAAAGGTGTTGTAAAGATTTAATGACTCTGTATATGCAAGCACTTAGTGCTTATACTTCACAAGTGTAGCTATGATTATAATTATAAAACTATTGTTTTTTGTAATTATTTATGATTGTAATTATAAGAACTGTTCAAGTGAACTCCCAAGTGCAACAATAATTATTGTTTGTCAGTAGACTTTTATCTGATAGTTTAATTTTTTTTTTGTTTGTTGTTCATGACAATGGAAAGCACTAAATTTTAGACTGAGCATGGTAGTACATGCTTTTAATCCCAGTATTCAGGAGGCATAGACAGGTGGATCTCTGAATTTGAGGCCAGCCTGGTCTGCTCTATATAGAGACCCTGTATCAAACGAAAGAGAGAGAAAGGAAATACCAAGTTCTACCTTAACATAGACGTAGACTAGGCCAGACAACCAAATAGTAGTTAATTAAGAATTGAAGGGGGCTGCAGAAATGGCTCAGTGGGTAAGAGCATTGACAGCTCTTCCAGAGGACCTGGGTTCAGTTCCCAGCACCCACATGGCAGCTCATCACTATCTGAAACTCCAGTTCCAGGGAATTCAACACCCTCACACAGACACACATGCAGGCCAAACACCAATGTACATTAAAAAAAAAAAAAAGTTGAAGTCAGTACTATTTATGAGACAAAATAAAATAGTATTAAGAAACTATGTTTTAGAGGTTGGGTTATACCTCAGTGGAGAGGCTGGCTAGCATGCATGAGGCCCTGATTCCTATCCCAGCTCCACAGAAAACTCAAGTAGCTATAACTTAAGTTGGTATGATGGATTTTAGGAAGCAGAGCCAGAGGCAAGATGACCTCAAGTTGGAGGCCAGCCTAGGCTACATAGTTAGCCCAGGCTTCCCTGGGTTACTGATTGATAAGCGTATTAAGGTTTTTTTTCACTTTTTTTGACATATTTTGTTTTGTTTTGTTTTGTTTTGTTTTATAGATAAGAGTCCCAAGTGGCCTGGGCTGATCTTGAACTCACTAGGTGGTCAATGTTGACCTTGAACTTCTGACCATCCTGCCTCTCCCTCCATACTTTTCCATCACTGGTTATTTATGTATCTGATATGCTTGGTACGCTCACTATTGAGAAATGAATCTTGCATTCATTATTTTGGGAGTTTCACTGTGATCTCATAGCTTGATCTTAGAGTTCATTTCTTAAGGGCAATAAGAATTAAGAAACAAAGAAAACAATTTTGAGGGCTGGAAAAATGGCTCAGTGATTAAAATCATGTACTGCTCTTGCAAGAGACCCGTGCTCCATTCCCAACACCCATATTAGGTGGCTCTCAAATGCCTGTCACTGCAGCTCCAGAGGATCTGACTCCTCTGGGCTCCTCAGACAACTGCACTTGAGTGCATGCTGGCTCCGCTTACCACCTTTCGGTTACATCAATGCTGTTCACATCTCTGCTGGGCTAAAAGTGACCACATGGCTGACCATGATGGCATACACCTGCAGTCCCGGCAGTCTGGAGGGCACTGCAAGAAGGTCAAGAGTTTGAGGCTAGTCTAGGGTACACAGGAAGCCTCTGGGCAGCCTGCAGACCGACTCTGCACAGACAGAGCTCAGGCAATATACTGGGTGATGCCAGAAAGCTTTGCAGAGCCCAGCCCCAAAGGAGAAAAAGAAAGGTTATTTTAGCCCCAGTTTTGGGTGATTAGTTATACAGCCATGGGTAACTAACCATAACCACTGGAGTTGGCTTCTGAATCGCTATGATAAGGCATTAACAAAGAGCAACTTGGGGAGGAGTGGGTTCCTTTCACCTTCCAGGCTACAGTGTGTGATCGAGGGCAGCCGGGGCAGGAACTGAAGCACTGTGGACACACACTGCTGACTGGCCTGTCCTCCGTGGCTTGCTCAGCCTGTTTTATTATACAACGGGACCACCCGCCCAGGGGTGGCAGGACCCAAAGGGAACCTGTCTCACTCACATCAATCGTTAGTCAAGAAAATTCCTTACAGACATGCTTGCAGGCCAATCCAATGGAGACAAGTCCTCAGCTGATCTCCTGCCTCTTCCTATGTGACTCTAATGTGTCCAGTTGATAAAAATTAGCCAGCATGATAACTAATTACTTTCAGTTTTTTAAAATCAGTCTCCTCTATTAAAGTATAATGCCCAGAAATGAGAACCCTTGCTCACTGTTCTTCAGCACTGAGAAAAGTGTGTGAGTGCTCAGTACATTTCATAATTATTGAAAGAACAGACCGTTGAGACTACAGTCAATTATGTAACCAGTCAGAGACAGCACTTGCTTTCAGCCATGATGGTGAAGGGCACCGTAAGCTTTAGTCTTTGTACCCTTCTGCTGTTACCACCCAGGGACCTAAGTTCTAGAACCTCCCATGCCTTGTGCAAAATTAAATGAGCTAGTGTGAAATTAGATGAGCTGGTTGATTTTTAAAGATATCTATTTCTTTATTTAAATACATTTATTTAATTATTTATGTGCACCTACATGCGTGTATGTGCACCATGCACATGTGGGTGCCTGCAGAGGCCAGAAGACAAAATTAGAGTTGGGGCTGATTTAAAAGGTGCTGGGGTGGGTCTGGGAACTGAACCTAGGTCCTTCGCAAACGGTCTCTCCAGCACCTAAATGAGCTAATTCTTTTTTCTCCTTTTTATTTATTCTTTGTGTTTTTCACGTCCTGTACTCCACCCCATTCATTTTCCTGTCCCTTTGTATCCACCCTCTGCCCTTGCAACATCCCCACCAAAATAAAATAAACTTTAGGAGAGAAAAGAGAAAGGAGAGAGAGAGAGAGAGAGAGAGAGAGAGAGAGAGAGAGAGAGGAGAAAAAAATCCATCTCGTCATGGAAGCTGTAGTGTGACACACTGAGTCTTGCAGTAAACCCTTCTCTCTATATCTTTACTTGCAAGTGTTCATTGCTAAGAGCCACTGGTCTGGCTCGAGGCCTCTGGCTTCTGCTGCACTGTCGATGCTGGGCCCTCACTGGAGCTCCTCTTGCTTATCCTGTTGTTGCCCTGTGCCATGGAGATCCTGCAGCTTTGGATTTGTAGGTCAGGTCTCTTGACATGCTCCAGCAAATCACAGATGGGGTGGATGTTGGGGTGGGCCAACTCATAACCCTGGCTCTGGACCTGGGTAGTTGCAGGGTTGGTCAGCCTGCCACCTAACTGAGCTAATTCTTGACATGTACTTGTAGTGTTTGGCATATAATCCAGTAAATCTCAAAGCAAGGGGAAAGAGCAACCCAGAGCCTGTATGTACATTTGTTGCCCATGGTTGTGGCTTTGTAGGAACAGAGACATGCTGATTTGTTTTGTGGTTGTTGGTTTTAGAGCATGGTCAGTATCCTGCTTTGAATAACTGACAGCTTTTACTTTGCTATTTTTAGCAGTCTTCAGTAAGTAGTCTCCATGCTTTACTGCACGTGTGCTCAGAGTCTAAGCTTGAGTCACCAAGTAAACGGTCATCTTCCTTGTAAAGTAACCAAGAATATGACGTAAAGGCCGGGAGGAGATGGCCCAGTGGGTAGTGTTGTGCACGCATGAGGAACTGAGTTCCTGTCCCCAGCTCACAGAAAAGCCAGGCATAGGAGTAAATGGCTGTAACCCCAGCATGAGGGACAGGCAGGCAGGTGGCAGATCCCACCAGTCTAGCTAGAATAGCGAGCTCCACGTTCAGTGAAAGACTCTGTCTCAAATAATTAAAAATAGAATGGCGATGTGATGGAGGAAAGCACTCTGACCCTCACACTTACATACATTATGAGCATGTATGCATGCACACATACACACACATGAATACACATATATACATATGTACACTGTCACATGCATACACCTATATATGCATGCATACATATACTGCATACATGCACACACCACAAACGTATACATACACAAGTACACATATACACTATCATACAGACACACATGTACACATTCCTTTAAATACATATACACATAATACACACATGCACACACACCCTCACACGTGCATACACCGCATTCATGTGCATACACACATATACATGAATATATACACACTCATACACACATAGACACGCATATGCACACCTTCACATGTGGACATACACACTTATATTTATACCCTCACATGAATATACCACACAGACATGCATACACACCCATCCTCATAAATGTATACACCACACACGCGCAAACACATACGTGTTATTTCCTACCTGGTCCC